CAATCTTCGTTTTGAAAACTTACAACACACATAGATTTAACAACAAATTAAGAAAAACATAAAAAATATCTAACAAGTTTATTATAATAAGTGTTAAAGTTGAAATATGTCGTGTAAAAGTAACACACGTAACGAAAGAATCGCCCTATTGCTGTTTTACCCCTAAATATTGTTTCGTCCCTTATACGCAAGGACCGTACTGATCCTTGAAGGACCGGTTTATATTATGTCTACGGAAGCTAACCTTCTGCATATTCTTATAATGCACCATGTAACCATCAATGGAGAATACATTTTTCCATTGAATTTAAATCTTTTAATTAAATATCTTGAATTTTTTAGTGTTAAATAAATATTCGAAACACTAAGAAAGTTTTTAAGAAATGCTTTGTATCCTTTTATTTTTACTAACAAATGTTTTCAGCCTTAAATTATTTCGTCTTATTTTATCCTTTTGTCATCCCATCACCAAATCACATGCCGAACATCGATTTCTTATTGCTGGATTCAGTTTTCCCGTATTAAGAGTAAATTTAAGCCGCTTAACTATTTTTGTCCTATTTTACACTGAATGCATTTTTTTAAATTTGTATTGTTTAATTTATAGGAGGTTTTCTTTTGGACCCTCTTCCTACCGAAGACCCTGAACCTTCAACCACTCCTGTTTTTCTAGAAGAGCCTCAAGATTCTTACGTTATTCGCAACAAACCAGCAACTTTATCTTGTAAAGCCAGGCATGCACTTCAGGTAGCAGCTTTTAAGTTGTAATTATTTAATAAAATATTTAATTATATGGAAGTAAAAATGAACTAATGCAAAATTTTATATTCCTTCTTTTTTTTTTGTCTCATAAATAATATACGAGCTGATGACTTTAATTTTTTTTTATTTCATGGGAAATATTTTCTAAAAATATTTATACTTTGTAGTTCTACATTTTTTTGATATTTGTGAAAAAATATATCGGCAGAAAAAAACTATTCAGTGGTTCGAATTTTCGATGCGCATGTTTGATTTAAATTACCCATTTCTTAGCTCATTAATTTGGAAGATTTTCTTTTTAAATATGTTAAGAAAAAGTCAGTGAATAATAATCGCGGTCGAAAAATAGTGTCATTGATTGTTTAAAATAAAATATTTACTTGAGTAGTGTATTAAAGATATCTTTGCTTAGAGGTACAATCTAACATTATACAAAATTAGATTTCTCATGCCATTTCTGAAAAAGTAATCCATAATATTTGTTATAAAGTATTGTGATGATCAATAGAATAAAAGTAACTGTAAACAAACAATAAAGTAACAAATTTATCTATTAAAAATTGTATTGATCAGTTTTTGTCTGTTTTGAAAGCTATTTTAAGAAATATTTTTTTAATAAATGACTGATACATATAAAAACAATAAATTGACTTTCAAATGACCATTAAAAAACTGGTTTTTCTTAAACTTATTCAAATAATTTTATATCATAACATATTTAATTTTATCAGTCTAAAATAAAAAGTGTTACCTACAAAATGGTTTAGGTTATCCATTTTTGACATACATAGAGTTTGTTCTAGTAGGCGGATTGCAATGAAATTTGGTATATACTTTATATGAACCGCAAAGAAAAACCGGAGCTAAAATATTGTTTAAATTTTGACCTCCGGGAAAGGAATAAATGCGTATTAAAACAATTTGAGTACGGAAAAATCTTAATTAATCGGAACATATGTTCAATATGCATTCCGTTTTCGTCAAACGCGTTCTGTTATACGTACTATTATATTTTTATGTAAATTAACTAACAGGAAAGTAATTGCTTGTGTTCTACAGGTGCAATATTTATTAATAGCATGACATCTACACCAACACAACAGGAAAAAATTTAAAAATACGTCTTTAATAAGTTCATATTATAAATTACTTTCACAAATGGAAAAATAATTTTTTTTAAAAATTTTATTTATAAATTTCTTTCCATTTGTTTAAAGAGTCTATAACATTGATTAATTAAGAAAATACTTATTTTTTTTAATTTTGTAGTTGCATATTGCATGACTTTAAAGCAAATAAGAATTACATTTATATTTGTAATGCCAATGGCATGGATGAAACAAGACTAACATGTTAATGATGAATAATAAGACGAAATATGTAAATTACAGGTTTATTTTGAATGTAATGGTCGCCTGGCAGAAAACCGACAGCACAGTTCTCAGCAATATGTGAATCCAATGACAGGTGTGAGGCAAGTGGAAGTGTCAGTGGATGTAACACGTGGGGATGTAGAAAAGATACTCGCTGGAGATACTTATAGTTGCTTCTGTTATGCTTGGTCTTCCACAGGAAGGATTAAAAGCAGGAAAGCTGTCATCACTCTTGCTTGTGAGTAAACATCTCTTAAAATACAGTTTTTAAGTTAATTTCAAGCTTTCATTTTTTTTATAAAGAAATGTTTTTAGGCCGGGAAAGCCTGGTGGGTAGGGTGCTAGACTAGTAAAACGGGGAATGGTACACGTTAAATGTGTCGGGTCACAAAGTCTTCCATGTTCTCATAACAAATTATACCTCTAGGGTACTGGAATGGAAATTGATTGCTCTCTGGTTCAGGTTAAAATTACGATCTTTGGATGAATTAATGGATATATGAATGGGTTTACTCTGTAGACGGATGTGGTAGAAATCGAATTCTTGACTATAGATGGCGCCACTGGAAAACAATTGCACTCCCAGTGCCTTAATGGCCTACTGCAGGGGTGGCGAACCTTTTTGCACCAACGTGCCATTTTTTCTTAAAAATTGTTTAATGTGGTCATAGACGTGTCATCAAATAATTTTGACTTCGTGATTATTGAGAAAGTAATAATACTGAATACTATCAACTCAAAACTCTTCATATACTATGGAGAAAAAAAAACATTTTGCAGTGTCTTAGTTATACGCATAATTCAATTTAAAGTAACATCAGTGTGACTTCTGTTGTTGTAAATCAGATGACAAAGAACTTATATTAGATTGTAAACTGCTGTTTGTAGAAAATGCAACAC